TTCCGAATCATAGGCAAGATTAACCGCGGATCTTGGTACTCTCCTATTTTTTGCACTACGTTGATTTCTATTCATTCCCAGTTTCTTGCCCTGAACAAACGATACAAAACACTGATTTAATGTGACCTCGTCGATAGCTTTCCTATGTCCCTTAGTGCCCTCAATAATTTACAGTAAGCTTACCCACTGTTTGAAAACAAACATAATTATCGTAGTGAGGCAAACGGCATGAATCTTAAAGCTGGGGTACGCTCGATTTTTACAAAGACTGCAGCGTTAAATTATCTGCACGGACTTAAAAATAATCGAGTAGCGCGTAACTTTCAACTTTCTTCTTTACACTGCTATTCTCGTAAAGGCGGAAATTCGCAAATTTTCTTCTACGATGTGGGAGTAAGTAGTAGCGCGATTTTCCAAAATTATTATTTACTAGGCAAGAAGCGCGAAGAGAGCCACACGAGCGCCTCGAGGTAACTGGTCAGCCTCAAAGATTAACGGCGAGATTTTCGCTCCTCTATGATCCTTTCTAATTTACTGACTCACGTCTTTTTCCTATTTGTGTATTTATTTCCTATCCTGCGAATGTACATATCTAATGAATCATCCTATATTGTATTGTTACGTTTATTGACAAGCGATAATATGCGCGGCGTGTTTTGAAACTTGCGAGTAGTCTTAGCTTATTTTAATTGAATTATCCGCATTTACATTTGCAGTTGACAAATGTTATAGTTACAGGCATTACGCAATCACTAACATTACGCAATTATATAATTTTTAATATAAAAAAAAAAATTGTTGAAAGGTATAAAATTATTAGAAAAGTGTATGTACAGTGCAATGGAAAAGCGAGAAGTTGTTTGTAGTCATATGTAATTTATATAAATATATATTTATTAAAAACATATTCATTTTTTTTTTTTTTTTTATCAACATTTAATCGTTTTAATTAAGATATAATTTCATTACTCCAGCATATAGTTATGAAACGATCTTTATCTTACTATAATGTTTAAATAACATCAAAATACCTCGATCATTTTATAGCACAGAGTGTACCTATATACATTCAAACATTCGTAAAACTGTATTTTTATTAAAATAATTAAATAGATAATTATATAATCGTTAATGCATCCAAAATGTTATCTTTCGTCAAATACTTTCCGATCTATTAAAATTCTACATAATATAATGAATTCGACTCATTCTTATCTTTTTCAAGAAAAGACGATTAGATATGAGCTAATAATAAAATTCGGTTAAGGGATTGTCCACCGAGGGTTACAGTAACTTTCTAATCAGGCCTTTTGAAAGTATATTTTGCCTTTTAGTTTAAAAGGATGATAATAAGATGCTTTTCCCAACTCTAGACAAAACTTTATGATGCATTTATCCCTAAAATATTATTTCTTATGTATGAGTGAACAAGTCCCATCGAGTTTCAGATTCAAAAATACTTATAAATTTACCGGCTGTCATTCTAATCATATACACTTAATTACTATATTATGTATAATAAAAAAGGAAATACCGCTATTGAATTTAACAATAATTAATACATTTCCGACAAGTATATAATATTTTTTTTATCTAATTTCTCCCACTTTGTTGTATCATTATTATTTATAACTAATTGTGACTATACGTTATTCGTACGTAATAGTGTTTTAATAAAAATTTTACCCGTTTCTACGTGTTGTTATAATATAAATGAACATTTTTTTAAATTAAAATGGTTTACTTGATTAAATGTAGTCAATAAAAATGGCATTTTATAGTTTATAATAAACAAATAAATAAAATGCATTTATGACAAAGAAGATTATAAATGGAAAGGTATTTTAGAATTAAACGATCGATTAACCTTAAAACATATTATACCGAATTAATTATATATTATATAATAAATAAAATAATATAATAAGTAAAATATTCATTTACGCAATAATAGTTTAATAATAGAGCATTTAATGCATTTAAGCTTGGCTGCTTATTTAAATCAAAGAATAAAAAGTATAGTGAAGAAACTAAAGATTTTGTTGGAATAAAGATTACTAAATGCTACACTTCCATAATATAATACACAATTTATTCAATTAAGTATAAATGAATTATTAATGCTAAAATAAATTGGCTATCTTTTTTTTTTTTTTTTTTTTTAATGAAACTTTTAAATAAAGTCGAACATCGTTTGGAATAACACTAATTGTCATATGTATGTTGTATAATACCATTAAAATAATCATTTCAAGGATTTTTCGGTAAGACAATGTCAAAACAATAAAAAAAAAAAAAAAAAAAAAAAAAAAAAAAAAAATATCAAACAGGCAAATTTTAGATGGCTCAAATAGTAATATAGGGCTTTCAAAATTTCTTTCAATTTAAAAGATCTCCTCCTCGCTCATTTGATCGTGTCGTATTAATAATCATCGGTCATATAGTGTTTCAAGACATTTATCTTTTAATGCGAAACCTAACAGATATTTGATCGCCAACGTAATTATAAAATAATAATATGCACAGCAAAATTTTTAATATTAATTCAGATAGTACTATTACGTTTATATTATACGTGCTACAATATAATATAATGTAAAGCTATCATGACAACATGTAATAAAGATTAATTGTCTCTGGTCTATCTCGTGACAGTTTTTCTTCTTATACTTTCTCATTCATTTAAAGTGCAGTTTTGGTTATTGGCCACTATGCTGCCCATAACTGTATTAGACAGTGTCAGACATAAATACGAAGACAGTTTTATATTGAAATTTTTGGGAAAATTTTCGTTTCAATGAACTGTGTTCAGCGAAAATAAACAAATAGTCGTAAAGTTAATGCGGAGGTTAAGTTTCTCTCAAAAGCGTATCTCGCCATATTTTTCATTATTTTCAAATTAAAAGTGCCTCGCATTGGCAGTATTCCCACATTCTTCATTGTTTTTCCCTATCCTACGACGACCCAGCACTAACCATCTCCTGCTACTAAATTATTTGAATAAATGACAATACTTGTTAACTAAAGGCTTATTTTATGCCAACCATTTCGATAATTCCTACAAATTTCAAATTCCCCGCCTTTGAATCCTACAATACTCATGAAAGCTGATTTGTAACCACACCTTACGTCACATTCTCAAAGAGCATCTACAGGAATCAGGATCTATTTTTCCGAAGTGAGTGTCGAATATAGTATATCTTCTTAACCTGGAACTATTGTGGAAAAAAAAAAAAAAATAAAAAAAAAAACTCGAAAAAGCTATTTTTGTAATCTTACCTTACTTGCCTTGGCGTATTAAACGCTTCGTATGTGTGTATTTCCAGAGTTTCAGTTCTCTTTAGTGTAGAATAAATTTTGTTTTTACTCTATTTTCCAACGATGCGTATTTCTGCCGCTCGTGCGGCATAATCTAGTTGATAAGAAAATTCTATTTCGAGACTAAACCAATTCTTAAAATTGGAGAAGACAAAATTGTCGATCAGAATGGATGCTCCATTATCAGGTAAACAATCTTATTAAATATCGCATTTAATTTTACGGTGTATTGGAAATTTGTACCTACCTATATCTTGTGTAAAATTAAAATTCTATTATTCATTTTAATCACTTGCTTGCTAATCGCTGTATTCGTATTTTATTATTGTAAATTAATGTTCTTTGAGAACCTAATGATTAAAGTGCATGTCGCATCAATATATTCTCAATGTTCTAAGAAACTAACATGTTTTAATACAATGTTTCTTTTTTATTAGCTTATTGGGTTAGATTTTTCAAAAATGCTGGCTTCCCATCGGATGTGGCAACAAAACATGCAGTTATTTTTTCTAATAATCGTATAAAACCTGACATGTTACCAGATTTGGATAAACCTAGTCTCAAAGAAATGGGTATCACGCTAATGGGTGATATGATTGCTATTTTAAGATATGCTAAAAAAGTAGTCGAAGAGACAACCTGTAAAAAGTTTTTAGTTAGTTCAGAGGATACGCCTACTCCAAGTAAAACGATAATCAAACCGGCAGTTAAGAAAGTAATAGCAAAAACAGTGCTAAAACATCCAATTGCTTCGAAAGTTAAACTGGAGCCTCCAAAGAAAATAATTAAAAATTCTACGAGTACAATTGTCAAGCCAATTGTGGCAGTCAAAAAGAAGCCACCTCCAATCACGCAAACATCTCGTTTATATTCAGATTACATTGATACAAATCAAGCGCCAAAGTCTAATTCGTTAAAGAGAAAATATGATAGCGACGACGAGGATGATAATGATGATGATGAGGACGAGGACGACGACGACGACGACGATGACGACGACGACGACGACGACGACGACGACGACGTTGATATTAAATGGATTCAGAACGAATCGGATAAACGACTGAAAACTAACGACGATGACGTTAAATATAAAGTGATAATGCCAAAAGGAACCACTGTCAGAAGTCAGAAAATTCTGAAGAAAGCTTTAGAACAAAAAAGAACTGTTTTTCATAGATTAGGAGACAGTATGGTTACGAGTACAACAGGCGTAGCTGAATCTTCCAATTCGAATTTTAATCCTACATTTAATATTACTGGTATTGGGAAGGATTTACTCAAACGAAATTCCAGTGTATTTAATCGACTGGGAAATAAGGATTCTGATAAAAATGAAATTACGTAAGTTAAAAATTAATCTTTCGATTCGCCTTAAGCCTCTTCAGCATAAACATTGAGATTTTCCCTGAATTTTACTGTAAAATTTCTCAGAACATAAATATTTAAAAACTTGATGTGTTTTTTAAAAATTTAAAAACTTCATGTTAACTTTATTATATATAATTTAATATATTTTTTATACAATCAAGATATTCTAGACAATTAAGAAATGGAACTACTACAACTGGAACCTCGGGTATTCTCAAGACTAGGAGCTCGATGCTTAGTACAAAAGGTGTCACCACAAAGCCCATTTTAAAAACATCTGTAGGAACAATGCGCGCCGATGAAGAAGCTAATAAAAAAGCTGTTTCTGAAAGTGTCAGACAATTAGTACGAACGACCAAGAGCCTAAAGTTCAATGACAGTCCAGTTAGAAGTAACAGTTTTGCTAGGAAAATACCAATTACCGGTACTTTAGGTAATATATCTAATACCATTTTAATATCTGATTATTATAAGCATCTTACTAATATTTTACAATAAGTGTAAAAATTTTGTTTTTAAATACATTTCTAACTATAATTCGGGCAATTATATTTCACTTTAATGCTTATTCCATCTTTGTTTCATGTTATATATTTAAATTTAATATTTCATTATTCAATTTAATACCACGCTGTTAAAATTAAATTCATTGCTCGATTAAAAACAATTTTTCAATCCAAAAGTCGACTATTATATTCTGTCATAAAAATTAATTTTTATAATTCAACTATTATTATAATTTCTTTTCTTTTTTAATTATAGCATCGGAAAGAATGGCTGTGCCAGCTAAATCACGCCTTGGTATATCAAAACAAGTGACATTTAATAAAATGGCAACAGTAAATCACATTAAAAAACATGGAGTTTTTAGTAGATTAGGTGTTTGATGTAATTAATACATTTGAATTTTAAATACTATATTAATTTTATAATATTGTACATACTTAATATGTAATTCATGATTCATTAATTATTAAAACATTCATTCAATGTCTCGTTGTACACATTTTTCATAAAAATTTTTTCATTTATATATAAAATATTAAATTTATTATCAGAAGAAATTCATATTGTCATTAATAAATTTTATATTTTCTAAAATAATATAAGGTACTCTTAACAAATGTTTTATCCAAAAAATGTACGATTTTAAATATTAAGGTAACTTATTTACACTTTTGAAAAATGATATATAGTATTTAATACTTAGTATTTAATGAAAAATTTATTAATAATTGATAATTTATGTGAGACTACCTTGTACTGTGTACAAATTATACAATTTGTATATTGATAACTTGCATAAAAATACTTAAATTTAAACATTTTTAACATTTATATCACAAATACAGATTGAGAAATATCGATGTTTAAGATAATGTAATATTAATGTATAATCCTTTGAAAGTCGTAACGTATTGTTTATAATTTTAAATTAAAAAATATTTGAAACTAATCAAGTCATGACAATTGACGAACAAAATATGTAATCTAGATAGATTTAAAAATTATACTTACATGCATTGTATGTATGCCTTGATAAAAAAAAAAAAAAAAAAAAAAAAAAAAAAACAACAACAATAACAAAAGAAAGAAACAAAGGGAAAAATCTCTTACGACTGGTATTTTCATATTTTCATTTGAATAATTTTAAAGGGTTATAGGCACTTGTGTTGAAAAGAAAATAGATTTTTCAAGAATTTTTACTAGAAAAACCATAAGTTCAGCTTTCATAAGACTAAATGAAGAAAAAATCTCATTACATCAATTTATTAATATATTTATCCGTTTAAAAATATACTGAAATCTATAAGTTATTGATCTATCATTGGTGCACTCTTTGTAAAAAGCCAATTTTATGATATAAACTGATACGCCAATTATGTTATAACTTGGAAGAAGTCGCAGATCTAACATAGTTGCATTAGTAAACAAAATATGGCGGCTTTAAATGAAAATAAATGGCAAGTGTATAAAGATAAAAATTACATTACGTCCATTTTCGAGGTATGAAAATTAATATTTTAAACATAGAAACAAAAAAAAAAGAAAAAGAAAAGTGTGATAAAAAGAACGTAAATAAGCATAAAATTTTGAAATGATTAGAATTGTTAAGTTAGTCGTGGTTACTACTGCCTCTAAAATACTATTTCAACATCTTGAAAAACGTTGACGAGATTTAGTTGAATTTTCAGGTAAGTATTGTTAAAAAATTTGAACTTATCAAACGTTTAGTGCCTCTAACCCTTTATGCAGGAATATAAACATTTAGAAAAGTCTCGAAAGGTACGTAAAATGTGCAGTGTGTAAAGAACATAATGTATTCTGAATTAATTCAGGCCAATTAGAATTATTATTCGTTGTGTAGTTAATACATATAAAGTTGCCTTAAATATTTATTACATAAATTGTAAGAAAATTGGTCCTTGAATAATAATTTACACATCCAAATACGATGACTATACAATTGGAATTTATAAAAACATTACTATTATTAATTAATATATTAAATTAACGATAATAAAGAAGAATGTATGAATAAATATAAATAAATGTATATACGTGATAACAAAGCATGAACTATTGCTTGAGTTTTAGCCCAATTCCTTCATAATTATTAATAAATATCGTTCGATAGCTGTTAGAATGTCGTCAACTTGCTAATTTAATTAATTAAATACAATAATCATCTAATCGAAAAGCGTCGAGAGTTTAAAATATGTTTTTATTCTATCCGATTACAGGATTTTATTAAATCAGTACTTTTAAACGTTAATCATTAATAATATACATGATAATTTTTATACAAACTGCCATTTAGAATTAAAAATATTCCACTATACTTAAATAATTGTATATGTTCCTTTCCATTTATAAAACCTATGATGATTATTTTTTTTTTTTTTTTTTTTTTTTTTTTGTCAAAGATTCTTGCATTAAAAATATTTGTATTTTAAATGAATTAGTTCTTAATTTAAAAAAAAGCAATTAAAATTAATGTACGTTTATCTGATTTTTAGCTTAACTCTCAATAATCATAAATATCGTATATTTTTGTTAATATTTTTCAATAGGTAAAATAAGATCGATTAAAATAATAATGATTCACCAAAATACATATTACATATTATGATAAATAAAATATGGGCGTGTAATAGAAACAAACATTTGTTAATTTTATCGAATTTCAAAAAAACTCGAAGCGATTATTTTCCATTTTATTTCATTCGTTTAGCACGAATGCCATTAGAATTTAAATATATTTTTAAAACATATAGAACATGAGTATTTTTAATAAATGACTCGCGATCAATACAATGTATTTTTTTTTTTTTTTAAGATAAGTATTTATCAAGAGCGAAGATACAACTCGGATTTATGCGTTATTATTATTATCGAATTTACATTTTATATAAATATGTCAGAAAATGAAAAGTAATTTTCACAGTTTAATAATATTAAAATGAGGATATGGAAGTTTACAAATTTATTTAATAAGGTCTCGACAATTTTACGTTATTAAAGCTTATATAATAAACATAATAAAAAAAAAAAAAAAAATATATATATATATATATGGATAATCTCATTATGTATTTTACATTATATTTGTAATTTATGAATATAATTACAAAACCATTAATATGTATTTATTAACTGGATACTGTAAAATGTGTTGCATCACTATAACAAGAAATGCCTTTACAGACAAACTAGATTTCTCTTTACTTAGCAGCCATAAAAGTACATTCCCAAAATTGTATAAATGCAAATGGAATGAGAAAGGCTACAAAATCTAAATAAAAGGTATATATATTTTAATATACCGCAATAATAACGAAATTAACACTTAAAATTCAAATGGTAAAAATACATACATTTAATCGAAATTTTGGTAAACTAATAATAAACTTTAGAATTTATTTTTCATACATTTATAATTTAGTAACGAATTATTATTTGAAAATTCATCTAATTGTTAAAAAAAAATAAAAAAAAACTCATATCAATAAAAAAAAATATTATTTTATTAACTTAATATTTTGCTATACATTACTTTGGTAAATAATTATATTGTACGTATTAAAAGACGTGAAAAGTTCGTAAATGTATTTAACAAAAGAAAAATAATAAAAACAATGTTTCAATCATATTATAATTGCAAATGTAAGTTTATAACAGTAAGAATCTCTCTTGATTAGATAATCAAACGACATTTCTGATTCATTCAAGTTGTTATTTCACCAAGTTTATCGAAGATAATAAATGAAGTTCCGATACATAGGCACTTGTAATTAAGCTACTATAATATCGTCAAGTAGCAATCTTATAATTTATTAAAATGAAAGAGATAATAAATATATGTCTGACATAGAGTAAAATATTTGATATTTTTATAATCATTATATGTTCAGATATGAATCCTCACTCTGTACAAGTTAAACAATATATATTACCATAGTAAATTAATTCTAATGATTATGCATCTTATCGAAAAATATGTACGAAGCTATTAAAATACTAATAAATTTGAAAGAAAAATAGATTTATTATGAAAAGTTTGTAAATAAAATTTCAATATGGAAATAAATGTGAAGAAAATTTTTTTTTTTTATTCATAGATATAAAAAGGTTTGGGATACTCGACTGATAAAAAATAGCAGGCTAACGAGGTCAATTAGTTTCCAAATTAATTTGTTGACATGCTTTTTACGTATATCAGCATACATTACGTTACCCCCCCCCCCCCCTCCCCGCCCGCCACCCAACACACACAGTAGCATATACATATTTATGTATATAAGTGGCTTAATGTAATGTAATGTAATGTATAAGAAAGTAATTGTTCGGCAAATATTTATACAACGAATATAATATGTGATAAAAATTTTTCTATTATTGGATAAATTTACAATGACGGTAAAATATTTATTTTATCTGAAACTGTAATTATATTATTTTCTTCTTTAAAGTCTACATTTTCATTGATAACATTTCATCTTTGTCACATGTTTCATCACATACTTTAATTTCCACACGTATATTTAATATACAATTATTAATTACAACAGAATAGGAAAAATGTATTAAAACGTAATTGCAAAAAGAAAAGAAAAATTCTAAAACAGCTACGATTAGTATAAAGTAGCTTATTAAATAAAATCTAATAATGTGAAAACTACATGTGTAAAAATGTACGATAAAATGTTAATTAATAAAACTTTTTATAAATATATGCTCCACAATTATTTAACAAATCAAAATATGATTAGTTTTTTTAAATACTCTTTGTTTACATATATATATATATATATATATATATATCTCTTTTTTAAATTTGTTGCAAGTATAGAGAGTCATAATTATCTATCTATCTATCGCAGATTTGTTTGTTCATTTATTTGAAGTAGCTAATCTATAATTTACGCTATATATATGATAACATAAGATGATGGAAGCTATATGGAATTAATTTTTAAAATTTTATAAAGCTTTCGAGAAAGGTAACAAGATTCCTACTTGAACTTTATTCACGACAATATTTAAAATTAACTACGATAAACATGTGCGCAAAATAGCTAAACGTCACTTTACCAATTGTATCAATCAGTATTTTATTTATGATTATCTCAGTGTAGCCAAGTAAAAATTAAGGAATTATTATAAATGCATAAATTAATAATATCGAAATCGTTAGTAATTTTACGTGTTGTCTATACTTATGTGAGCGTACAAATTTTCAATATATTGAAAACTTAATAGAGATAAAAGACTCTATGCATCATCTCGTATCAAATTCATTATCGAGAAATTTCTACATTTCCCTATCCTCGTCATTCATAAATTAATCTGCTGTAAGCTACTGAACTGCCTACAATACTGTATATTGTCATCTCTATCTATAAACCTTAGCACGAGCTTGTTTTCTAGTAAAATTCTACGAACGTAGCTTCGATATTATATAAAATAATATATTAATGTAGATGTAATAATCGATAATGTATTCATGAATAATCGTTTTCTATATATATATATATATATATATATATATATACAGTTGAATATGCTTGTTTCTTTTGCGAACAAATATAATTAATGTTAATGCTTTGAAATTTTTATGTTTAAATTTTTAATTAAAAGAGAACTTTTAATCGTGTGTAATTTCGTTTTTATTTAATACAAAGTGAGTAAAGTAGGATTTAATAATGGTCTGTACTACCGTTACTCTCGTACTGCGTCTACTCTTATATCACTCGAAGAATTTAGTCGATAAATTTATTTTTAATGAAAATTAAAATTGTTAATAATAAAAAAAAAAAAAAAAAAAAAGAGTTTTTTTTTATTTTTATTTTACGACTCTGGGACGTTAAAATATTTCGAATAATTCCACGCAATGTACTATATATTATAAATTATATCTTTGATTGATATTTATGCTTCAATGCGTTTACTTAGCTATCATAATAAATGCATCTATAGAGTTTATAAAGAAAAATTTATAAAAGAATTCGCAATAATCCTGCATTTATATTAATTAAAATTTCTAGATTTTTCAATAACAAAATGCCACATTTTTACTATAAACGTATCATCTATTCTTATTAATGAATTATGGTTTTATCGCAACAAATAGAAAAGAGAAATGATATTTAATTTCTTTGATTTGGAATCATATAATCGCTGTTATAATCAAGGTATATCAACTAATGAATTAATTATGAAAAATGAAAGCCCATAGAGAATTATTGGCACTATCGGTTCTGATAAAATCATTCCTATTGAATATGACCCACATTTTGCTTCGTAATACTTTCCATTATGGTACTTAATGTATAGTTGATAATATTGAATAATTAATTTACATATGATTGGTTCACATTCGCGGCACATTAAAATCTTAAATAATGAATTTATTTATAGATATCGGCTTGACTTTTTAACGTGTTCGAAACGATTGTTTAAGATATATAAACAAGTTCAATGTAAGTACTATGTAATTGAAAGTCATTGCTATTGAGAGTCATTGCCGTATTCATGCATGATTAGTGGCATTCGGGATGCATAAGAGTTTAAGTACATTTAGACGTAAATAATTGAAGGAATGTCCGCTTATAAAAAAAATTATAAATACATAGCATTCGCGTATAATAATTATATTTATATTTATGACAATAATTATTATTGATGTTATAGCTATTAAAGGATAAAGTACTACCTATCTGAAGTAGATAAGTACTACTGGATTTTAATATGATTTCATGATAATGTAATTCACTGTCCTCTTGATTATGTATTTCCATACGTTTTCATTTAATAATTAGTTATTGAAATTTGGAATAAAAATGAATGCATGTATACATATAATAATATGTAATAATAATTTATATATATATATATATATATATATATATATATATATATTAATTTCTAATAATATACTAATAATAAAAGTATAAATAGATTTAAAAAGTTTTTTTAATAGAAATAAAGAATATTAAGCAAATGAAATAAAACTTATTTCTTGTAATTTGTAAAGATATTTACAAATTGTTAATCATAATTTATTTCTATCATTTACAATAATATGGCTTTCTTTACTCTTAACTATTCCATAAAGAGTCCAAATTTAATGTTACATAATTAAAATACATCTTCCTTAATATCGTTAACAAAAATAAGCAATTTTCAAAAAATCTCGTGAGCTCAGTTATATAATTGCAATCGTAAAATAATTATTCTTAAATGAATCGACACCATTTAATTTGCATATGTGGACTTTCTATTTGAAATTTTTCTTTATAAGATAATGCGTATAGAATATAGGATAAGAAAGTAAATATAAGATAAAATTATTATAAAATTTGTATTACAAAACTTAATTATATCTTAATAATGCTTTTAGTAAACTTTTGTTTTGTTTTGTTTGGTTTTTCTTTTATCGATCGTCGAAATATAAAAACATGAGTTATTCATAAGTAGGCTGTAAAATATATTTTATGATCGCAGCGTTGATTTAAATTTTTTAAAGAATTGTAACGTTCGATTATTCGAAAGTATTTGAAACATGCGGTAATGGAACATTACATCGACAATAAATAGTACACAATTCTAGGTTCGTACCTAACTAAATTCACATTTATCTAATATTTCTTTACTATATTAATTACCCAATATTCATATTATAAACAGATTTTTATAAATATAATCTTAACGTTGTATTGTTATTATTATTTTTTATACTTTTCCAGTCAACTGTGTAGACACAATAGGTAATAAATAAATCGTATTGTATTTTTAAAAGATTTATAATGTTCTGCCTAAAATATTTCATATTAACCATGCAAGTGAATCGATCTAAATTATAAACTCTCAAATGGTATTAAATGAAATTTCTTATTTCGAATTATTATCAATTAAAGAATATGGTATATTAATGTATAATGTTGATAAGTCATTTTTATTGTTCGGTCAATGACATAGTCCCGTATATAGATAAAATGACACTCGTCATCTCTTCCTCACGCCTCGTTGCTGCCAGTTATTTCATATAACTCGCAAGCCGCGTGTGTACACGTTGAAAATCTTGACTGTTAACCATCGCGTCCGTTGATCGAAAAGCAATATTTATTCACATTCGACATTTATAAGCTGCTGTCTTTAAGAAAATACAACAACGATGTAATTATAAAGACATAATGAGAGAGCAAACAGTCAACGAACGTTCTCGACTTCTCTCCTAGAAACCAAATCCGACACATTAACCAAGGTTGCCGCTCTAAGCGCATATTGTCACTCATGTGACGTTGCTTCCTCGATCTCCATAATTAAGAAGCAGTTTGCAGCTGTTTTCAAAGCTTCGTATAACGTCACCGATTGGACAAGTATGGACAAGACTTTAGGGCATTAATCCCAAGCGTTTCGTTGCCACTGACGTCATCACACGTCGCTCGCTCGCACGGGAGAGAAACAAGTCTATTCGGCTGTTTATAGTTGGTAGGATGACGTGTCAATTGTGATTTTTAAAAATATATTTTTCATCTCTCGAGAATCGGGATTAGACGGTAAAATGACGCTGAATTCTGGGATTACGATGGCTTCGTGGGAATCTTCTCGGTTTGGCCTGTTGTCGAGCAGCAATTTAACGAGAAACATTTCAAATCTCCCTTCCCCCGTCCCTCTGGCGAATAATCGCGAATCTGTGATTTTCGCTTAATATTGTAAAAAAAAGAACAAACATTTGACAACAGTCACCACGACAAAACAATAATAGTCGAAAAATTTCTGTCATTTTTTTTTTTTTTTTTTTTTTTTTTTTTTTTTGTTTTTAATGGTATGCTAATGGAATTTTCATAAAGATTTTTAATAAAAAATACATAAAGTAGGCCTCGAAAGCTTTATGCATGCTCATCTCAATGATTCCTGCGTGTATAATACCTTTATTAATTAAGATATTCCCATGAGAGAGAGACAAAAATAAATAAATAAATACAAGAAGAAAATGAGAGAAGCGTGGATTCCAGAATAAAAAAAGCCTTACATTGAAAGAAGCCGAAATTTCAAAATACAATTATTTCAATCTTTAATATAACGAATAAATGGAAAATCCTCGATAACCATTGTAAAAATCCCCGTGTCGGCAGTCTCAATGGCACGATTAAAGGAATTACCACGACTAGGCAAGGATAAATTTTCTTAGAGGGGGGGGGGGGGGGGAAGCGCGCGACGACGAATCGACGAGAAGACATTTGCCGTAGAAACTCGAAACTGTCGCGCCAACGCCGGCCGTGAGACCTTCATCGTCGCGTGTCACTGTCTTTTCACAAGAATCGACCAGCACAACCGAGGGTTTAATAAACTCCGACTCGGATCGCAGGGGCTTCGGTCGATCTCGTCCATGCGATAGGGATTCGAGAGACTCTAGTGGACAATTAGTGGAAGTGCGAGGACTGGAGAGGCCAGGGTACGCGTCTGTTTTACGCGGTTAGCCACAACCGAATGAGCGTTGGTTGGTTGGTCCGCGGGCTCATCGGCGCGCGAGGTAGAACAGACCCTGGGTGAATAGCGGCGACGGGGATAAGGTTACGGTCGGCTTGGCCGAGCATGTCGAGCATTTCGAGCATGTCGAGTAAGCGCCAGGAAGTGGTGGACTACGCCGAGGAGAGCTGCACCGACGAGGATGAGGAGATGGAGGAGGCCGAGTTGGAGCTGGAGCGAAAGCTGTGCGCGAGGCCGAGGCCCGGCAGGCCCCGCAAGACGAGCCTCACGACCAACTCCTCGATGGAGACGGTTAAGGCAGGGGAGCCGTCCGCCCGGCGACGTGGCCGGGGACCCTCGAAGCGGCCCTGCCTCAACAAGAACGCGCTAATGGCGCGAGAGAACAGGCAACGCAAGAAGGAGTACATCGAGAGGATCGAGGGCAGACTGCAGTTCTACCAACGGGAGAACCAGGAGCTCAACAATACTATACAGAAGCAGTCCATTGAGATCAAGAGATTGGTGAACGAGGTCGCCTACCTAAAGACCGTCCTCAACAATAGCACCATCGTCACCTCTTTGCTCAGGGCCATGAACGACAGTCTCAGGAAGATGCACGGTGGTGGAGACGCAGCTGCTGTTGCCGCTCACCCTTCTGACAAACAGTCTTCGAACGTTGCCAACTGGATAGCTAGGTACCCATCAGACCTCTTTATTTCCTTCTCTCCGACGACTCGTTCGCTAGCTTGTGGCACATAAGACCCACCTAGGCAGTTGGTCTTACAGTTTTAGTGTCTCTCTGTTAATAACGAAAGCTCTTTATACTTCTATAAAAGTACACGCTATTATGTTAGATGTGCCGAGCGTAAATGAGGTAAGCTTCGGCAAACGTATAAGAGCCTTGTAAGTATAAAGACATTGGTGTAAGATGAAATAGCAAATCGCTCTTGCTAAGTTATTGCTTATGTAGTAATTGCTTATATACTTGCTCCGTTAGGTATATTTTTGGAGAAACGCTACTTTAATGATCGATCTTATCTAAATGTATAAATGTAATAATACAATTAAATATAAAATTAAATAACGTTTATGATGTATAAATGATGCTTTCGCTGTGTAATCAAAATAATGTAATAATATAAGTACTTACGTAATGCTTTGCCTTGATTTTATCGCAAGTACAAGCTTCATTTGCTTGCTTCTTTCGACAAACTAATTAACTTCACGTTTATATTTTACACTCAATATATACATATATGCATACATGTATATATATATATATATATATATATATATATATATATATATGTGTGTGTGTGTGTGTGTGTGTGTGTGTGTGTGTGTGTATACACGTGCATATATGTATATATATAAAAATTAATTGTCAACTATGCTAGATTATAACTATCGACAATATCTTTATATGACTTGATATTTGAACACTATTAGTTAGATATTGAAATAAAAATAAATTATTACAATTACATTGGAAAAAAAAAGTTTATAACTAAAAGTGACAGTCATTTATGTAACAAAATGTTTATCGCTATATCAGATATTTCATTTAATTAATAAATTTACATGTAATTATAAGACTGCGTTTAAATTAGAGTAACGGTATATTTTAATTTTTGATTGAAATCTAATTACTTTGATAAAAATATAAGCTCACTGTATTATGTTTATATAATAGTTATGACAGCTAGAAGAAATTTTCTTATTTTTTTTTCCTTTAGTGAACAATCTACTTTATCGAAAGCAAGATCTGCAATTAAAGAGAAATTGGAAATGACTAAAGAAGAGATTAAAAGGTCGTCTTTTGCACAATCGAATAATCCAGTGAAAATAGCAAGAAAAACTATGCCATTCACAAATATGTTACCAAAATCAGAAAATTCATCCATTGTTGAGAGAATTTTGAAAGAAGATGAAAAGATGCTTAATCAAAAATCACCACAGTCTAGTAGTCGTTGTGAGTATAATACAGTCAAGAGTTCAATGGGTCTTGATAGCCAACTACCCACAACACCGATGAGCATATTGTCCAGCTCTGTGGATAAGGGTGAGGCTAGCTTGTCCGATACGGATTTCAGCCAGCTGTCATCGTTTAACGTTGACTTGTTTGGAAATCTCGACGAGGTGGCCAATCCCTTGCAATTTGAGCAAGATAATTCAGATATTTTTAATGAAGAAACCTTGTTTCGTACATTGGAAAAAGACACAAGCACTATCAAAACCGAGACATCCATTGATCCATTGAAGATCAGCATTATGTCTAATACATTAAATGAGAAAACTCTGTTCAATAGTCTTGAAAATACCGGTGTATGCCTCCATATTAATTCTAGTAGAGTTTCATTGGAGTATTGTTCAATTTGCCATTCAAACAGTTTAAATTACGAAAGTGTATAATATGACAACAAGGATTTATAAATACACACGTTGAGTTTGAACTGCAGAGTCAAAATGAGTGGAATATTGTTTATAAAAGGATCATACAACTTTGGAAATATAAAGCATGCTATATATATATATATATATATATATGTGCGTGTGTGTGTGTGTATATGTATATATATATATATACACACACACACACACATATATATATATATATTATTTATTTAGTCATATTTTATGGTCTGTATATAATCATAACTCGTGCATCACTTATGAACAAGTTTAATTTTCTCGATTCCTCGTGTTTTGAAAGCTGATTTTAAGTAACACATTGTAAGATCATTGCAAATTTTTTGTTTACTTCTTTTACGAATTTAATTTTTATTAAATAAAAGAGGAATCTCTATATTTTATAATAAATATATGTTTACATCTATATGTACAAATATCAATCTAGCTAATAGTAATTTATGGTGTCCGTTTAATGCAAAAGTAATATGTAGATACGATAAAATAATTTAAATGATTGATTCCATAAATTTTAAAATTGACTTTGATCAAGACATTATGAAATAATTGCGATTTTTTATTTAAGTTTGTAACGATTATAGTTTTTATATATATATCAAAAAAAAAGAAAGATATGCATATATATAAAATATTTTGTTTTATAAAGTATATTAATGAAAGTGTAAAAGTAAACGTTTTCAAACTTGAAAAAGTCAAAATAGTCCATATATTTTTTTTTTTTAATACAGTTACGTTCATTATTGCTTTTCAACAACGTAAATATATAGAGATTTTTCTAAAATAAGTTTATAAAAGTTGTCATTAATGGCTATTTTAACTCTTCAGTTGGAGTTACTTGTTGTCTCTTATTAAGGTTACTAATTGTAATATAAATGTAAAAATGTTAAAACTATTATAAAACATTAGCATAAATCACACATTGTAAAACTCTTCCAAGACTGTAAAAATGTTTTCATTTTTGCAGGACAGCAGCTTGGCATACATAATGAGTGGCAGTTGGCAATTTTTAATTAAAAGGTGGGCATCGGCTTCCATGAAAGCTAGACCAATTTAGAAATTTAAGTTACTTCTTTCATTGCATCACTTTTTTTTTGTTTTTTTTTTTTGTTTTTTTTGGTTTTGTTTTTTGTTTTGTTACACTTCATTTTATTTAAATAATTTGATTAATTACAAATTAGAGTCTTATGAATGTAAAATCTGATTAAAAGAATTCATTAATGACATTCTTGAAACAATTTTTCAGTTAGCAATGTAAAACCGGATTTTCATAGAGAAACCATTGCCTGCTTTGACTAAAAAATAGTATTGTGTCTCATATCAGGTTGAGTATAAAAGTATCGATCAACAACTTCAAATAATTTAAATATTGTGCTTGTATTTAAACTGCCACGATGAAAAAGAAAAACTTTTATATTTTTTTTAATAAACTTTTCATAATAAATTAATGAAAATGCCAAGCTCTTATTGTTACATACCTGAATTTTATAGGTTTTTCTACATCGTTCTTTAAAAATATTCACAAGTTGACTTAAGTTTCAGCTACATCAGAATAACGATAGTAGACCAACTTTGGATTTCATGGAATTATCCTTAGATATTAACTAGTCGATGATCAACCTTAACACCAGAATTAATTTTAGAGATTTGCATCGATATGAGACCATTATTTCTTCAGCGATTCATACTTTTACATCTTGTAAAAGGTGATAATGGATATCCTTTTTATAAACTAATAGAATCACAAACATAGGCACTCCTAATAATACAAATAAAGTTCTGTTAATAAATTTGTTACAATTAATAAAATGTGATTTATGAAAAATATTCTTACATGCGTCTGTGCACGCAAATACAAACATGCATATGTGTAAGAATACTTTTTCTACATTCATAACATTATGACATTTAAAGTAAATTTATTTTCAAATTTTACGCATTAAAAAGTATATTTTTAAATCTGCTGCATTTTATAGAATAAGTAAAGTTTTATATATTATATATATATATATATAATAAATAAAATAAAATAAATAAATAAAAAACTAAAGAATAGGTAAGTAAATATTAATTGTCAGGGGTGTCCATGTTTGACAATAACCTCAAGACAAAGTTTTTCTGGTATTAAGGCACCAGTTTGATTTTAATGTTTTTTCAGTGTTTTTACAGATCTTGGAAGAGTTAATTAAACCACCAGACTAGCTTACAAACATTCTTTATAAAAGACTCAATATGTACAACTAGCCATATGTATATAAAAAGATATTATTTTTAAGATTAAATTAATTCTTTGTAGATGTCTTAAAAAAAGAAATCAAAATAAAGCTGCTCGTTTTGTATTAAAGATTAATATCATATTATATATGCATATGTACATATATGCATGCATATATGCATATGTATATGTATATATGTATATGTATATATGTATATGTATATATATATATATATATATGTATATGTATGTATGCATATATATTTATATGTAATGACAATTTCATATTGAATATAAAATTACAAAAAAGAGCTATAATGTTTATTATTTGTGATATAAATAACAAAAAAAAAAAACAAAAATCAACAAAGTGTTTTTTTTCTATTTAACACCCTATCTCATAATAAATGACTATTTTAACGATATTCTATATTTATTCATACAAGTTGCTTTTAAAATAAAAAAAAAAATTATTTAACATAACGACAAATCGAAATATTTACATTTTAAAACTTTCATTGATTGTATTTCTTTAATTACCAAACATGAGATTTTTGATTTATTATTATTATGTTAAAGAAGCTTTTGATTTAGCAGTTATTTGACAGTAAATAATGATTATAATTAAAATATTTTTGTGAGGATAAATGTCTGAGAATTGGCTATACATTTAATCCAAATATGAATAACTTAAATATAGACATTTTTTTTGTTTACTTAATAATCTATTATTATATCTCCTTGGATTCACTTCCTACCCGACGAATATAATCGAGTGAAGCTTGCAATGGATTATATCCGGTGCAATTTAGATAATTCAGCTACTAAGAATGAACATAAAATGTTAAAAACAAGTATATGTATATACATATATATATATATATATATATATATATATATATATATATATAAACAATTTTGAAAAGCAATAAACAACAGTTTATTAATATTCATTTTATAATTTAAACATTATATATAACAATTGGATATATATTCATAAATTCGAAGTAGTAGATTTATGATCTTAGATAATCCATTAATTGTAACTTTTGAAATATTATTTTTAATAAAATTGTGTATAATCAAGTTTTAGAAACAGAATGAGCAAAATAAATTATTTTATAATCATAATAAGATTAATTATTTTTAACCTTAAAGTTAAAATAACAATCGATATAAAAAACAATCATAAGAAGCTTTGAATAATTACATTGTCAAAGCAAATATTAAAGAGAATTAAATAAAAATATCTATTATTATTATTATTATTATTATTGCTAGTCTGAATTGAATCAAATAATTGGCCAAGATAATTTTAATGTAATTGAGCTAACTTGTACAAAAAATTTAATTTGATAAATCGAAATTTGTATATAAGATACTCTAGCCAGGTCAAATCAAAGAGCATTCAATGATTGACAATTCTACAAATAATGATTATTAATAATATTAAGAATAATAAATGGCAATAGTTGCATACAACAAGTGAAAACATTTTGTGTTCGGAAAAATTATATGTGTTTAGATAAAGCATTGATCAACAATCAAACGTAATGATTAATATAAAGCAATTTTTATCTTATAAGGCGATAATGATAATATTATAAAAAGGATAATTAATTGATATGCCGGTCCGGTAGCACCCATCACACATTTATTAAAGTACGTTAGGGACTTCATAAAAAAAAAAAAAAAAAAAAAAAAAAAAAATATATATATATATATATATATAAAATCTACTATTTTGTGAAAATCAGCGAATAAAGTTTAGATTTACAATAAGTATAAGTCAGTACATAACGAACATCCTGAATTGAGAACTTGAAAATCCAATCTGAAGCATACGATGTTTCGAACACGTGTAATGTATATTAATTGGAAAATTTTCTATATAATATGAAATCTTGTTCAAATATCGAAGACTGTCGTAATAGCGAATAGTATTTATTAATATTGTTATTGTTGGGATATGCTAATAGGAGACCTAATACTTAGATAAGCTATTATAATAATTTATCGTATATCGTAACGAGTATCCATGAATATCAGATTAAAGAATATTATGATTATACCTTTATCATTATGTAGGATATGAAAAGTATAATTAAATAATTATATTGAAAAGTTACCAGTATTAATAGATAAGAGCTGAATTTGATTTCAAATTAATAAAAGAATGCCTTACTTTTCATGTACTATAACAATAGATTTTATGCTTTCTTAGCGAAAAATATTATTAACGATTATTGATAAGAATAATAAAACAATAGCTTGATCAGCAGTTCATATTAACATTTCATTATACGTTGATAAATGAATAGAAATTTTGAAAAGAAATATGTTGAAAAAAATAAATATATATATATATATATATATATATAACCAAAACGACTTATCTCAAGTATCATTACAATTATTACCATTACATACATGATCTTGGAATTAAAAAAAAAATTTAATTATTTAAAAAATAAAAAATTAAAAACATAAGTGTTTGAATGAATAGATCGCCGACTTGAGAAAATTAGAATTCGATTATGATAAAGTTTTAATCAGTATTAAATTAAAAAAAAATATTAGGTCACATATAATTTCAAAACGATGAATTTATTAATAACTATCGGAAAGAAAAAAAAAGAAGTTAAAATGCAGGGAGAAGTTGAAGAGGAAATTAAATGGTTATATATAATTATAAGATAAAAATAATATGTCATGACAGAACTAATATAATTAATCTATGAATATTAAGACAATTCGAGTACAACGTATTAAGAATAATAGTAAATGAAACAATAATATTTAGCATTGTTAATAGGAAAAACGGAATACACAAGGCCATTTTAATGATCGGCTAGATAAATGTAAGATAACGAATAAAGAAGAAAAAAAAAAAAATAATGCGAGTTGGGTATGAATAAATATTCTGATTGATATTGGCATAAAACGAGGAGAGAGTGACATGGCTGCATCGATGAGAAATTGAGTACTACTACCAATACTAATCCATAAAAGTTGATTGCACAGTGTACGAATGAATTGCCGCGAACCTGCTACACTCAGAAAATATAAGATATAATAATCTCATATCAAATAGATCAATTCGAACGTTTATCAGCAATATTCAATCAAAATTGAGTTTTAATGAAATTATTTTCCGAATAAATATCGATGGGAAAATTTAAAATGGTGAAATAGTATTTGTACTTTACAAAATTTATATATCCCAAACATAAATAATTCAATAGTTTGGTGATAATTTTTACATACTTAATCATAATTAAAAATTTATATTTAAACTCTCGCACATGCGCGCGATTTTTTTTCTATAATAAGCAGACTTAAATACAACACTGGTAGCTAATTATTTTGTAAAAGCCGTCATTATATTAAAAAGGGTATTATTATAAATCATTTATAGAGAAATTTGGGCAACACAGTTATAGCGAAAGGTATAATTTTCATCTAAATTAATTTTAAATCTTATGGGTATTCTGCTCCCTTTTGCACGTGCATTGCAAAAAAAAAAAAAAAAAACAAAAAAAAAAAAGAAAAGAAAAAAAGAAAATGTATTATTTAATTTTAGTTTTAGCCAGTCAAATATTTTTCAGACGTATTGAGTAAGATTAGAAAATTACGCGAATGAAAATTAAATTAGTCATTTTATTTTGTAAAAAGTGTGAGTAGAAAAATATAAATAGTATTATATAATAGACTATGATTCATATTTATGTACGTACACACGCGCACACTAATGAAATGAAATTAATATTTTACTGCATTATATAACAACAAATACAATAGATAGAGACAGGAAATAAGGCAATTGTTGAATAATAATTAAAACTATTTAATTTATTGAAAAGTCATTATTAATAATTATCATGTTAATTGTCACAATAAAACTCCGTCCTTTATTCAATTACTCCATTAGCGACAAAATTTCTCATACCAAATCATTACTCTCAGTCTTATCATTTATTAACATCTTTGCACATATAATTTATTAGGATATTTGCAAGAATGCTTATCAGAATATTGCAGAATTCAAGTTATTCAGGCTATTGCGAAACATTGCACATCTTCCAACTTCTTACTCGCATAAGTATTAATATAAAATGCATTGGACGTTTGCAATTCGACACTTTCTAGAATTATCATCATTGTGATATTGAAAAATTGACCATATGATGTGATGAAAGTGTCACGAGTACATCGATCATAAATTAAATAATTGAAAACTAATTAGGTAAAGAAATGATGTATTGGATCAATTTTTTAACATAAAGTTAATATTTTTCCTTCCTATTGGTAAAAATTTATACGTATATTTAACGATTTGTTTGCTTTGTCTTATCTTAAATAGTAGTAATAATCTCTCTCTCTCTCTCTCTCTCTCTCTCTCTCTCTCTTCTTAATTTAGATGCAGAAGCGCTCAATCAATAAAATAGTTGAAAGAAACACGAGCACAAAGTTTTTATTATTTCTTTTATTTCATGAAATTTTTAAACTACATTTTCTGCAACACTGACTATATAACTATTTTGTACCGAAAGTTGCCGAGTTACAAATGCGAATGAAATACCGAGAATCGATATAATCAATGTATTATAGATTTTTAGATGCAAATACGTTGAAAATCGAAATAGAGTTGGAGAAATGAGATATCAATCGATGTACAATCGATGGTAGAAATCTAAATGAAAACTAACAGTGGATAATTAATTCGCTACTTTTTAATCTTTGCAATAGATTAGTAATTTTAGGAAAATTAAATATTAACAAATAAAGCATGTATTGTTAGATAAAATGCGTAAATCGTTTGGGAAATCGTTGAAAATTATAATAGATTTATTATAAATTTATAAGCGTATGGGGGAGGGGGGTGAGAAAAAAAAATAAAGGACTAGTAAATGTCATAGTAACCTTTATTCAAGGAAATTTATAACAGAATGTGGAATTGAAACGCGAAACGACGGCGGCGCGGTTTCTCGCGGTCGGATCGTATAATATTATTTCATCATTTTTTCTTTATTTATTAATCCTTCCCCTCTCATCTGCTCGTCACGAAAATGACTCGTCAATGTCACGC